GAGCAGGCTCTAGACAACTCATAGTCGACAGAAGAGTTATGCTGATAGGTGTCGGCCAGACTTGGAGTTCTAGGTGGGAGATATGGTTCTCATGAAGGTGTCGCCTTGGAAAGGTGTCATCCGGTTCAGGAAGCGGGGCAAGTTGGGCCCCAGGTATATTGATCCCTTCAGGGTTTTGGCTAGGGGTGGGCCGAGTTGCTTATTGTCTAGATCTTCCAGCCGAGCTCAGCCAGATCCATAGTACATTTCATGTCTCTCAACTGCGGACGTGTATAGTGGATGATTCCGCAGTTGTACAATTAGAGGATATTCACGTGGATGAACGTCTGAATTATATCGAGAGACCAGTGGCAATATTGGATCGGAAGACGAAGACCTTGAGGAATAAGACTATAAAGCTGGTGAAGGTGCAGTGGCAGCACCGCAAGGGGTCGGAGTGGACTTGGGAGCTCAAGGAGGAGATGAGAGAGCATTATCCAGAGTTGTTCAGGGTAGAGGAATTCAAAGACAAAGTCTGATCCAAGTGGGGGAGAATTGTAACACCTGATGGTTTCAAGATATTATTTATTTAGTTATCTATTTAATGGACTAATTGTGTAAGTTGTGTGGATTTAGTGAATTTAGTCCTTAGTGTGTGTGTGAGCTCGCTGAGGTCGTACGCTAGGCGTAAGCCTGGTGTACGCAGGGGGTAATTAGACCCAGGTGAAGCGCAGAGGCATGCACGTATGCTTAGCGAATATGGTAATACATGTAGCATACGTGGTCAGACCAAAACCCTAATTTTTAGGGTGCAAGCCCTATATAATGGAATTATGTCCCAAGAGGTGGCCTCCTTATCAGCCTCTTATGTCCAAAAACCCTAAAGTCGAGTCTCATCTTCTATTGTTGAGTGTGTGAGATTTTGGTGCTTATCTTGGTGCATTTTGAAGTAGTTGAAGGAGCTTGAGATTCATTAGTCTAAAGAGGAGGTATTGGATCCAGAACCTCTACTCATTTGCAAGAAGTGTGAGGTATCAAGTTCTTTTCTTGATTTTTATATGTTTAGGTCTCCTTTTTGGTTAAATAGTTTTGTTTTTAGCCATGGTTTGGATGAATGTTAAGATTAGGACGTCCTAAAGGCTTATTCTTTAAGATCCAAGGTCCTTGTGGACTCCTTTAGCATAAAGGTGCTAACTTTATGGAGTTTAGGGGCCTCGTGCATTCGTTAAGTCCTTTTTGAGCTTTGGAGCTTCTTAGGGTCATGCATGGACGTAAAGTTAGTAAGTTTACGCGGTATTTCAGCTAAAGGGGTCAGATCTACATCATGGAGAAAAGTCTTAATGGGTTAGGAGCTTAATCTTGAAGTTGGCTGAAATGGTTGAGTACATTGGGTGTACAAGCCTGTACGCGCAACGTACAAGCCCTCTATGCAGGACACTTAGCGTACCAGATGAGTACGCCCAACATACTCGATCTATTGGCATTTCATTGTTGGACTTTCGGTTTGGGTCTTGCTTTGGGCTTGGGGGGATTAAGGTTTGTTGGGCCATTTGATTCTAGCAATTTTGGGCCAAGTATGTTATTGGGCCATGGGCTAAGGCCCGTGTAAAGGAGTTGGGCCCAATTTGAAATTGGGCCATATTTTGGGCCTTGGTGGATTGTTTAGCTATGGGCCCATTGGATTGTGGTTGGGGACTTCATTCATGGACCAAGCTAAGGTAAGGGTAAAATAGTCTTTTTACCCAAAGTAGAGATTTTTTGTTATATTGTAGCTCCCAAATGTTAATTAGTTTTTATGTGGAAATTGATAGCTCGGGGAGCTGTAGGACCAGTAGCCAGGGATCATTCGTTTCATCCAGCTTTTCGAGGTGAGTTTCCTCACTAGGTTTAGTGAGTTGAAGGCACTAATGTTGGCCCATGCTTATGCTATGTTAGTAGGCTAGTTGTCTTCGTGACTCTTGCATGTATATGTGTTTATATGGTTGTCGGGCTAGGGCCCGATGTCGGGCGGGGTTCGATGACTATTTGTATGCTACGTATCTACATGGTTATTGCATGCGTATGTGATTATTTGATATATGTTATATGTATGTTGGGCGGGGCTTGATGCCGGATGGGGTCCGATGTCGTGTGGGGCCCATTATATGTTTATTGTATGTATGGTGTGAGGTAGTTTGAGGAACTCACTAAGGTGCTGTTTGTTTTTTCTGAGGCAAAATGTCTGCAGTCTGCAGACCACATTTGTAGACCTCTGCAGTAGAAGAGGTGGACCAAACGTCTGCAGTCTGAAAAAAGAAGACTGTTTGTTTTTTTAACATCTGCGGGCTATTAAAATAAACTGAAATCTAAATAAACTGATTTTTTAAAACTTCAAAGCGAATTTTTTATATATTTTTACGACTTTCTTATAAATATATAACGAATCTAGATCAACTTTTATGTATTATTATATAAAAAATAAAAATAAAAATGGTATTAATTCATATACATATTTGATAAAAACCAACAACTTTGATTGTAAAGTTATAACTAAACATTATAATTAGTGATCAAAGAATTTGATACATAAATAGATGGAAATAAACTTCGATTTTTTCAAATAAATCTATTAAAAACGTACGATAAATATTTTCTCGAGAAATTGATGATACTCTATTAAATAAAGTTTTACAAAATTTTGGCAAAAAAATATAAGAATATATTATGATATATTTTTTTTTTCATATTTATATAAACAACTTCAACGACTATTATTATAATAAATTTTTATTTATAAATTTGTTAAAATATCATGTTTGTATCGTCAAATGTTTTTTTTTTTTTAAGTTTTGTAATTTTTTTTTTCATATTGTTTATCATTAATAAAGTTGGAAAAAATATAAATTAAAAAAAAAAACTTAAAAAAAATAAAGATATATATGTTTTTTTAAGCTAGAAGATGTCTGAAGATGTTAGAAGACTCTGGTCCACATCTGCGCCAAGAAGAGGGCGCACAGACATTTTTAGGTCTGCAGTCTTCAAAAAAACAAACAGTCTGCGAAGACTAATGTCTGCGCGTGGTCTGCGCGGCGCAGACAGAAGACTTCTCGCAGATCTGCAGATAAAAAACAAACACTACCTAAGCTTTGTGCTTACGGTTTTTAGTTTATGTTTCAGGTACTTCCGGTTCCAAGGGGAAGAGCTCGACTTGACTTCATTGCACACACCATTGAGATTCCGCATTTGATATTTGCTCTGATTTTTATAACATTTGATACATTGATTTCGTTGAGATGTATGACTGATATTTGAAAATACTATTTTATCTATTATAAAAACGAAATTTTTTGGACCATATTTTTGGATGTTACAAAAAGTTTTAGAATTAAAAAGACGCTTTAAGTTATCTCAAAATTAGGGATGGTAAATCGAACGGTCATTTTGCGTTTTAGCGTAAAGATAAGATACAAATTATTTTTTCTTAACTTGAACACAACACAACATGATATGATAACATGTTTTTGTTTGTTAACACGAACACGAATCAATAAAAAGACGATACCACGAAAAAAAACATTTGCAAAATATCATATGTAAGTTATTGTAGAAAATATTATTTAAATACGACAAACACAAATAACACGACAATAAATAACATAAGACAACATAGAATGCTACTAAATATACACGTCTTTTGAGCACGAACACAATGTTTTGTGCTATTATCGTATTATTAGTGTGTCAAATTTTAAACACGAACACAACATCATGTTTCTTATACATAACACGAAACAACACGGATACAAATTCAAAATTCGATTTCGTCACAATTTCGTTTCGTGTTGTGTATTTTTGTTGTGTCGTATCAAATTTTGCCACCTATACTCAAAAGTTCATTGGAGAACAATGCCTTGATGTGTGTTTCATGTTTAAGCGTTTTTGTTCTCACTTGGGAATACTAGGAGTGGGGTATTTACGTTGACGAAACAATGTGTAATGTATACCGTTCACATGATTTAATGTGATGGTGTCAAATCGGGCAACCTTTCTTTTCTAATACGATACGATCGATAATGTTTTATGTAACAAGAGCACGACACGATGTTGTTTTTTTCACTAACACAAAAATAAACCAATTAAACCACGACACGCAAATGATAACATAACATAAACATTAGTTTATTGAATTCATACTTAATCATAAATATAACATGACAAACATGAAAAACACGACAATAATAGATGTTAAATCATGTCAATTTCGAGTCATTTGTGAACAAGGACACGAGGTTGTGTTTTTTAAACTTTACATGAACACAACACATTTAAAATTTAATTTCATCTCGATTTAGTTTCGTTTATTTGTCGTATCATCGACTGACACCCATATCTATTTGATCAAAACTAGTTGGACATGAGGCAACACGAATGGAACTATGTTTAAGTATTATGGCTGTTAAATTTATTACATTGGATAAAACCAATGTAATGGCTGTTGAATCAAGGTGCAAGAAGCTTAAGAAGTTCGTACAAATCGAGACATTTTCAGTATTATCGAATGATTGTGTTGTTAAATTATAGCGATTGTTGAAAGACGAAATATACTACAAATCAAACAAATATCTTCAATGACCTTCACAATCGGTGTTTGATCCGTACTTCTACTTCATTGTGCCAAATAATTTGATCACCATAATGAGATTAGCATAAAGCATTCCTGAAAGCAAAAAGGATGCTTATATCATGGAATTAAACTTGTACTTCAGTTGAGAATTGTCAATTTCGACCACAGAAACCAGGTTGTTCACAGGAAATGAAAAATACCAACATGAAACCAATTCCAGGCAGATAGACAATATGTCAAACAAAAGCTTCACACCAGTTAGTGGCTATAAGCCTATAACCCATGTCCAGATTGGAAACAACACGAACAAACGCCTGAATTTAGATTACCAATGATACTAACCATAATCAAAATTAAAATCAAGATGATTGATATCATTTTCATCCTCTATGGAAATGATAATACTGGCACGATAATCTTAATCGCTATCACTTTCGTAAGATTCATCATATTCATGCATCCAGTAATGAAACCAAGAGTTGTCCACCGAGTCATCTGCATACTTAAGGTCTTTGATCTGTTCCATGCAAAGTTTTCCTAAACTGCCATCAAGATCAAGGTTATAACACATACGAACATCTAGGGATTCAAGGTGAGGGCAGCCATTAAGAATGGCCTTGAGTCCATTGTTTGTGATATCACTATCAAAAAGATCAAGATGACGTAACTCAGGCATGTTATTTGCGATGGCAAGGGCATCATTGTCATTTTCAGTTTGTGGGTGCGGTTCGAACTCTTTGCTGTTCAGCATGAAGGACTTGAGTTGAGGGCAATTTTGTCCGATAACTTCGATGTCGTATGCGTCGATAGAGATGTAAGACAGGTGAAGTTTCTCCAACATGGGTACCCTTTTGACTGCGTCACTCAACTCATCGCCTGTGACATCGCAGTTCTTAAGGCAAAAACTCTTCAGTTTACTTGATCTGTGTTCACAAGTCACCATTCAGAGCCATATAAAAGCAACATAAAATTATTAAAAGACTAAGATTAATGGCGACGTGAGGGGGGAAGAAGCCACCGTAGCACAATGTAATGAAGGAGATCACCGGTGCCAAAACCCTGGATACTGATATCAATCAACTCCCCACAGCTTAGATCGATTGCCTGCTTAGTCAACGCCTCAAGATCGTAATCCTTGTCACAAGCTTCACCTGGTTCATGCATATCGATGATCCTCCACATCGCCGGATCCTTGCAAATTATCGACCATGTTGTGCACACTTTCAGTGCACTGTTGAGTATCTCTTTAGCATCTAATCTCCGAATGATATTTGCCATCAGTTCATGAGGCATTTTCAACCAATCCAGAGTTTCCTCCATTGCTAACTACGGGTCTGCTGCGGAGGTCGACGCCATTTCAAATATAAGCTACAATGGTTTTACTTTACCAATGTATTTTTAATATCTCTAATTACGGGACGTTTGGATTACCCAAAATTCTATTTTCTCCAGATAAAAGTTATTTCGACTTTTCTGTGTTCTGCAGATACAGTCCTTTGAGAAAAAAGAAATTACATCTTTCATTTATCCCTAGAGAAAATTTGAAAAATTATCCTTAGGTTGCTATGGGTCAAGAACGGCGTGGAGAGGCCGAGATGGTCCCTCCATGCCGAGGAACATTGCCCTTCTTAATGTTCCGTTGGAACATGTGGAGATGACCACATAGAGTAACTTCTAGTGGAGGAGAAGATAACAATCTTTAATATATATATATATATATATATATATATATATATATATATATATATATATATTATTTTAATCATTTTAACCTATAAATACATGGTGTGGTGTGGGTTGATAATTTCCTAACAAAAATGAATGTGATATAAAAATGATATGACATGTGATGCGGTTAAAAATTAATATGGAGAGTTCGGCTCATACCTAGGATGGACATATGGACTGGGGAACCGGCTGAAACAACCCGATGGTACCGGTCGAGTCGGAACCATGATGATATTCCTGTAGATTTTTGGAATCGGGAATCAGTATAACCGGCAAAAACTAGAATAACCGGAAAAAACCGGTATAACCGGCAAAAACCAGAACCGTATGTTGCTATTTCTCGAGGATCGATTCAAACATTGAAGACACGGCAAAAACCTGTAGGAATCAGAACCTGTAGAACTGGCGGTCCGGTTTTGTTTCCATTTTCCACAAAGTTTGATTTCCGGATCGGTTCCAGCCGGATCGGTTCCTTTACACATCCCTACTCATACCCATGCATCTTACGGTTATAACTTTTACAACGATAACATATATCCATTAAATACTTATATAATTACCATCCTATCCTTATATAATCGCATTCTATGAGGCCCCACTTTTAATTACTCTTTCGGTTATATATTAATTTATTGGGTATGAGACACGTGTATTATACGAGTTAATTAATTAAAACAAATCTAAATATCAAAATGTAAACATTAAGTATTTTTAAAATAAGTAAGAAAAAACATATTTATTTCAATTAAGTATCATATTTATTACATTTAATATTTTACATATATAAATATAAATATTTTGTAGCTTTTTAATTTTAAAATTTGAAAAAAAAAACTTAGAAATTGACGTGTGGATATTATTTATTTAAAAAATACAACAAAATGACAAGTGTCAAAACCCATAAGAGATTGACATGCGATAAAATAAATTTTTATTTCTTAGAGTAGATCGATTTTTATTTAAAAAAATATTAGACAATTATTCTAGATTTATCATATTTCTCTAATAAAAAAGTTTGGTCACTTTTTGGTAAAACCCAGGAAGGGTGTTTGGATTTAATTTAAAAAAATAAAGACATTTGTTAGAAGTGTTTACTAACTTATTCTATGGTAACTATTTTTTTAAAGTTTATTGGGTGTCCACTTTATCATTCTAGTTACACTTTTCGGGTTATAATACCCAATGTGTAAATTGGCAATACCAAATAACATGTGATAACTTCTACCATTTTCTATTTTTAATTTTTTTTTTATGTTTTTAATTTCTATTTTTCTAATTTGTTTTATTTTTTTTAATTTATGTCATAATATTTTTAAAAAACATATAAATTAATAAAAAACATTATTAAATTAAATACTTAATTAAACATACCATTTTAAAAATAAAAACGTCATTACAAAGAAAGAAAAAAACATTGACCGAAAACATACCATAGTCTAAATAATTTCAAAAACATAAAATCGATACACTATCATTCGCCTAAATATCTCCGTTCAATCTTCACCTTCATTTTTCGAAACACTTTCGCCTGTCTCGGTGGCATATTCTCCTCGTTAGTTTGTAGAATAGTCAAATCCTTCGTCATGCGATCTTCCTCGTTTTCTCGACGAAGGAACTCCAAATGCTCACGTTGGAACTCATATACATGTTGTCACACCCCCAAACCAGAACGGCGGAAACGTTCGGGGGTGGAGGACGTCATGTAAGTATCACAACACATGATTATATTAATCAAAGTGTAAACAACCATTGCATTAATAAGTATAAGATTTACATAAGTGTCTAAACATTACATATTCAAACATCAAAGTAGATACAATAGAAGATAAGAGTCGCAGATCGGTACTAGACAGTTTTCTCAAAAGCTTCGGGAGTGTACCTATCTACTGGATTCCTGAGAATACAAGTTATTTTGAAAGAGTAGATCAACATTTAAGCTGGTGAGTTTATAAGTATTTTAGTTATATGAAGTATACTCTAAGTTCTTGGAAAAGTTAATTGGTTCCTCCAGAAAATCCTATATTTTCTAACATGACAATATGATAACCATAATAGTTATCTCTACACATATATAACATAATATCAAACTGATAGTTAAATGGGTGAATCTGCCCTAAGCCCACAACCAAACAAGGAACAAGAAGTAAGGCGGAAGTCACACATTTCACTGTCAGTCGGATATTAATTATGTATAACTATGGTGTATAAACTAAGGAATTATAAAGTTAACCATTTAAGGTCCTTTATGTTATACTAATTTTAAGAGAATGAATGACGATGTTCCAAAAAATTCTATATTTTCTGCTTTACAACTGATAAGTAGTTTTAATTCCATAAAACTGTTCCATATAAGTAATATTATACTTATAATAAGGTTTAACATAATTTTAACTATCTATAAAATTATAAGAAGGATGTCTTCCTTATTGTTGATGTAAAGTGGTTTTAAATCCCATAAAAACCATTATGATAAGTAGTTTTAATCACATAAAACCTTTCTGATAAGTAGTTTTAATCCCATAAAACTGTTCTGATAAGTAGTTCTAATCTCATAAAAATTATTCTAATAAGTAGTTTTAATCCCATAAAACCGTTCTGATAAGTAGTTTTAATCCCATAAAACCGTTCCATTTGAATTATGAAAAGTGAATACTACAGTAGTATTTCTTAAAAAGAATAAACTACTGTGAATAACTACCCTAATATTATCCTGGTTAATTAGGGTTTAAAATGTGATAAAGTTGTAACCATGTTGGACTAGAATGAACATGGCGACCTACTGGTGTCGAAACTGAATATGTGATATTTGTCATCCCATGGCTAGTCTACCTGACTGTAGCTAGCAGTCGGGATATGGGATTGTCAGTCTCGTATAGATCTATACACATGTAACGCCTATGTTTCTGGGCTTGTCATTAATGTTGATATAATACTTTAGGTTAACCTTTGTAACCCGTTTTGAAATAATAGAAGTGTATTATTTGAGTATTATGTGTTTTGTGCTTAATTGTGTGTCTTAATGTAATTAAGAATAAAAAAAATAAGCGTCAAAATGAAATGTTAGACAAGCTCAATATCTATGGATAATGTTGTAGTAGTTGAAACGAGGTTTCCGAATATATAAAGAATGCCGAAATCCGAGTTATAATGAAGAAGTTATGACATGTCGAAGTTTCGTGACAGAACCGACAATGCTGAATGACGTAAAAAGTGAATTTACGTTAGAATGATATTTAGCCCTAATGATCTAAAAAAATGTTGTAGAGTTCGTTAAACCGAGAGCGTGCATAAAAAGAACGCCCAAATCTGACTTCGTATGAAGAAGTTATGATTTTTCGAAGTTTCGACTTAACAGTATGCAACCCGAATACTCGATTCGAGATCGAGTGATTGTTGGTTGAAACAATCTGAACGAGAATCGAAGATCTCGTTGATAGTAGCGCATTGGTGAGAAGACAGACGAAAATGGACGTCAGATAAATAAGTTATGAATTTATAACGAAGTTTTTCTGTCCCGATCTACTAAAAATAAATAATAAAAATAAAAGTCAAAATTAGCTGACGGAGTCTAAACGAAAGTTGTAGAGCGTAGTCTCACCTACGCGTGGATATAAAGAACGTCGAAAACGGAGTTCGTATGAAGAAAATATGAATTTCCAAAATTTTTAAATGATTAATATTTATTAATTAATTTTTAATTCGGATGTATATCCGAAGGAGTCATCGACCCAATCCGAACTACGCCCAGCGTACCCCGATGCATGCACCGCCTCGGACTCGAGTGCTCCGATGATGCATGCAATGACGTTTTTGGTCACGTACACCCCGCGTAATTGATTACGCCCAACGTACGTGCGAGGCTCAGCCTTTATAAAAAGCATGCGAGGGCAGCCGGCTTCTTTTGCCAAATTTTCTCCTCTCTCCCCCGTTTTGCATCATTTTACGTGCTAGAAATATCCAGAAGCCCAGGTATTAATCCCGAGCCCCGAAGCAAGTCCCGAAGCCCCGAAGATCCCGAGAAGTGAGATTTCCAAGCCGAATCTCTGCCCGCAAGAAGTCCGTTTTTTTTGTGAAGATCTTCCATATCTACCGAAGAATACTACTTCTACAAGTCGTAGTGCTGTCCGATCATCCGCTGATCAAGTGAGTGTGTAGTTGCTTTCTTCTAATGCATAATTATGAAGTATTTTATATAAAATACGTGTTATGTCTATATTTTGTTGTTATAAGTGTGAATGTATATTCACTTTCTTCTATCTCATAGATCTGATTTATTCTCTATGAAATACGTGTTATGTGTGTGTGCCTCATTTGTTATATGGAATATGTATTGATTGAACATGCTATACTGGTTTTAAACTATGTATAAAAATATATATATTTTTATTTACTAATATGTTGGGTAGAACATGGGTAGATAGTTGATGTGTGATAAACAGATGAGAGGCCTCGATGTTGTTGATGTTGACCTAGTCATCTAGCGGAGTATGGATGACGACCACAGACTCTTTCTAGATAGTCCAGTGGAACGCTAGCAGGTTCATAACCTGTAGGTGTTGTGAACAATGTGTTCACCGGTGTACTCTATCCCT